ACGGTTGGTGGCGACGGTCGTTGAATGGGGTAGGAAAAAGGTCACCAGTTTGCCTACTCCATGCTGTTTTTACGATGAAAATCGAGCGAACGTTGTAAATACGGCTAGAATTTTAATTTTAATGCAATCTGCTAATATATTTGTTTATTTACTGTGCATATACATTTCGTTCGTATTTACTTCTTTCTTTCGTGATCGGAAGACGATTATTAAAAATACAGCTGTAAATTTAAACCACTGTAGTTGCGTATCGTGAGCAATAAGTGGCAACAATGTCGGGCGACGATAAATTCAGGCGATTGACACATTGCCATGAATACATTTGATAACTGCTTACAGACTTCCAGTGGTCATTGTTTATGTTTGGACTCTTGAAACAATAGCAAAATAAAGGGTTGGGCAACTACTCCTTTGTTTAGGCTTGGGAAGAACAATGCAAGCTTTTTACAAATAATTTCAGCTGGATGTGCGTTGGTGGGCGGGTGTTGAGAGTTACTAGGCGGCCGTAAAACTTGTGGAGAACACTGCTTTGTCATCTATCATCAATATGTAATCTTCTCTTAGTTCGAACAACAGATCTCCTGTGTGAAAATATCATACACAAATTGAGAAAGTAGTAGTCTAAATCAAAGAATTTTTTTTACTGTTTCTAATTGACTGATTACTGGTGATACACAGTCAAAGGTCACTAGTCCCAGTGGGAATATGCTTTGCTATACGTGTTCAATGAAGTAAATCAATTAGGGGTGAAATCACTTGGGTCAAACCTTAGTTAGCCCAAACCACACAAATAAAACCCAATTTTGCGGTTACAAAGTCTATTCAGTGCATCCTAGGACGACCGCACAAATTCGCATAAAAACAGCGATTCGAACTGATCTCGTTCACACACTTATTTTTAGGATTAACAGAGTTATCTTTACGTTGATTTGACCAGTTAGTTAGTCCCTGTTCAGGCAAAGCCTGAAAGAGGAGTACTAGTTTTACTTTCTTTTTTTATTTTCAAGTTATCTCTCACATTTTCTCAGAGACTCTGCAGAAGATGTCAATGAAACTTGGCAAGTTGATGAACATGTCTGTGTTATATATGCACGTATTTTTTTTTCACAATTCAAACCGAAACAAGAGGTTTTTGTTGGTCGATGGAAACACATTAGAACATTTTTAGATGGTGTCATTACGGTCTGTGCTCAGATACATGTACTTTGACTAATTATTCACATTAACAAATATATTGACTTGTATCACAATCTAAGTTGTGGGAAACTGATCATTATTACCAGTCACAGAAATAAATAAATACAATTTTCATCACAATTAAAAAATGACAATATAAATAGATTTATGAAACAAATGCAAGCTTTTTTTATTAGCATTTACATGACTTGCAAAAAAACTCTCTGCTGGAATTCTTTATAACACTTCAAAATATCACACTCAGTATGAACATGGAGCTCTATAGTATGCATCTTATTTTGTTTACTCTTGAAAGCTCTTTTGAATCTTCCTCCTTGAAACTGTATTGTAAGGAAAACCCATGCAGGTTTTCCCAATCTAAACCTGAAATTCCATGGTCTGTCTTTCAGTGTTCTCGGGTTGTTTTAGTGGGGATGTTAATGTGCTGTTAATCTGGGAGTGAGGTTCAGACCTACTACAAATTTGCATATTGTAGGTCTGAATAGGGCTGAAAAGGGCAGACTGGGTTAACCCAGGTATGACCTAAGTGTTTGAATATGAGATCACCTCCTTATCTTGTAAACAATATCATTGGTATTTGTTTACATCAAGTTTCTTAAATAATTCTGACCATAAACAGTCATCATACATTACTTTTCCCCTTGGAAATGTAAATTACCTGGTAATTTGAGTACTTGTATTTGACCTTGTTCAACTCGCTTAGTTCACATGATACATGTACATACTAAGGAAATAAAATGTATTATTTGCAGGGAGTGATTGGAAAGTTGAGTACTAGGAATATGTCGAACATGGAACAACACAGTCTTCATACTAAGAAACCATACCAATGTAAAGAATGCAACAAGTACTTTAGCTGGAAAGGCAATCTGAAAACACACATGAGAGTGCATACTGGTGAGAAACCATATGAATGTAAAGAATGCAACAAGTGTTTTACCCAACAAGGTGCTGTGAAAAAACACATGAGAGTGCATACTGGTGAGAAACCATACCAATGTAAAGAATGCAACAAGTGCTTTACCATGAAAGGCGACCTGAAAAGACACATGGGAGTGCATACTGGTGAGAAACCATATGAATGTAAAGAATGCAACAAGTGTTTTCCCGACAAATGCTACCTGAAAACACACATGAGAGTACATATTGGTGAGAAACCATACCAATGTAAAGAATGCAACAAGTGCTTTACTATGAAATACCACCTGAAAACACACATGAGAGTACATACTGGTGAGAAACCTTATGAATGTAAAGAATGCAACAAGTGCTTTACCTGGAAAGGTGACCTGAAAAGACACATGAGAGTGCATACTGGTGAGAAACCATACCAATGTAAAGAATGCAACAAGTACTTTACCTGGAAAGGTGACCTAAAAAGACACATGAGAGTGCATACTGGTGAGAAACCATACCAGTGTAAAGAATGCAACAAGTACTTTACCTGGAAAGGTGGCCTGAAAAGACACATGAGAGTGCATACTGGTGAGAAACCATACCAATGTAAAGAGTGCAACAAGTACTTTACCTGGAAAGGTGACCTGAAAAGACACATGAGAGTGCATACTGGTGAGAAACCATACCAATGTAAAGAATGCAACAAGTATTTTGGCTGGAAAGGCGACCTGAAAACACACATGAGAGTGCATACTGGTGAGAAACCATACCAATGTAAAGAATGCAACAAGTATTTTACCTGGAAAGGCGACCTGAAAACACACATGAGAGTGCATACTGGTGAGAAACCATATGAATGTAAAGGATGCAACAAGTGTTTTACCCGGAAAGGCTACCTGAAATCACACATGAGAATGCATACTGGTGAGCAGCCATACCAATGTAAAGTTTGTGACAAGTGTTTTATCAATACAAGCAATCTGAAAAGACACATGAGTGTGCATACTGGTGAGAAACCATATGAATGTAAAGAATGCAACAAGTGTTTTACCCGGAAAGGCTACCTGAAATCACACATGAGAATTCATACTGGTGAGCAGCCATACCAATGTAAAGTTTGTGACAAGTGTTTTATCAATACAAGCAATCTGAAAAGACACATGAGTGTGCATACTGGTGAGAAACCATATGAATGTAAAGAATGCAACAAGTGTTTTACCCGGAAAGGCTACCTGAAATCACACATGAGAATTCATACTGGTGAGAAACCATATGAATGTAAAGAATGCAACAAGTGTTTTACCCGGAAAGGCTACCTGAAATCACACATGAGAATTCATACTGGTGAGCAGCCATACCAATGTAAAGTTTGTGACAAGTGTTTTATCAATACAAGCAATCTGAAAAGACACATGAGTGTGCATACTGGTGAGAAACCATATGAATGTAAAGAATGCAACAAGTGTTTTACCCGGAAAGGCTACCTGAAAAAACACATGAAAGTGCATACTGGTGAGCAGCCATACCAATGTAAAGAATGCAACAAGTGTTTTACCCGGAAAAGCAATC